ACCTACATCCATTTTTTTTTCGTTTATTGTTATTTTTGTTATAGTAATTAGGCCTATGAAATATTACACGCTTCATTTATAACAAATGTAGTTTGTTTTTCTGGTGTCAGAATAATGATTTCCGACTGTCACGATATTTTGTTTCAAATTTGAAAATTATGCTTCAATAAAACGGAGGGTGGTATTTCTAAGTTTGGAAAGCGATTTTATTTTCTATAAAAAAAGAAGAAAAATAAAGAAAAATATTTTTAATCAAACCAAAATACACGTGCACAAAACTATAATAACGTTTTTGTGAAAGATATTTTGAGTCTGGATGGGATCTCAGATAAGGAGACCGCAGCAAGGTTGTCCCTTCTCAGAGTGCACCCAAACCGTCAACAGTTCTCACAAGAAATCTCTCGATTTCCTGTTTAAGCAGTTTATTACTCTGTATGAAGACACTGCCAAACTGACGATCCCCCTGATCCGATCCACAGACGATAGAGCTTGCGGGTATGTTCTTTCGAACTTCCTTACGAATTTCATCTTGCCATTGATGAGACGAACCTCCCTCTCCAAAAGCAAATTCGCATCTTGCCATACGAATTTGCGGAGAAAAGATACGTAAAGACGTATATATATGAGGGCTAAGTAAGCCATATGCTATTTTAGATCTCTAACTGATCTCCTTTGGTTGCATTATTAATACAGATGGCCGCAATTACATAATACTATAAGTTTTCCCTGATTATGAAAACATATTTCCTAAAGTCAAAAAATGTTTATTTCGAAGCGTTACAAATGAAATGGAATTCAGAATATACCATCCATATAGCAAAAAAATGCATTTTGTGCCTAAATGTGTTGGTCATTCCTTATAATTGACGCTTCTAACAGCACTCCTCTCAAATCTACTCTAAATTCGATACTAATTCTCCAACCGTTCGATTTCAAGAAATTAAGACAGCAAAGAGGCTCAAGAAATAAGAACATGACCTGTAAACGATGACAAACCCAAATAAATATGGTCAACACTTCAGTTATTACATGTCTTCAGCCCACAGGAAATAAATCAAATAATTGCAATCAGGGGATCCTGGATGCAGGTCCTCATACTGAAGATCGTTTCTGATATGATTTCTAGAAGTAGATCTAAATCATTGATACATATCGGTAAGATAGATATGACACTAACCGTTGGCACCATAATTCATGGAAGAATTAGTAAATCTTAGCTCAAAGGGAGGTTTCTTTCTCCTTTTTTTCTGGACAACTGATCTCCAAGTAAAGCTACTGCTAATATGTCAGCTGCACATGCTTTAACCTAACATAAATATACCATCTGGGACGATCCCATTTCTAGTTAGAACGGTCTTTCACTGATCATAATTTATCACCGACCGGCTTTATATGAGATGCTATTGGATGCCATTTTTTATAATTCCAAAATTTTTTGACTTCCCACAAATCAGAATGGCTGTGCTTGCTCAAGATGGAGTGCATCATTTCAATTTTTTAACTCGATCAAATTGCATCTCTAATCAAAGCTACTTTTTGAATTTAAACTTATATAAACCTTTAATAATATTTACAATAAAAAACACCTTTCATTTGAATTTATTTCCAGAATATAAGTAATATCTATTTTTTATGCTTATTCTCCCTAACATTCCACACTCATGTCGATGACTCCTAGAGAATAGTGTCATTTTTAGATTAACCCAACATTAACAACTGTCACTCATAGTAGCATCACTAGTGTCGAAAATTAGTTCATGCATATTAAGTACATAACAATTTCAATTCCATTATCTTCAATTCAATTGAATATATTTTCTCAACACAAATTAGATCAGTAATTAGTAATTAGATCAATATAACAAATGAACATTGTCACGGCATTTAACAACAGCTGGGAAATTAAGCATGAATAATAACACGCCTTATTGTGTATTGCGGTATTAGTTGAATATTTTGTATTAAAAATTCGAAAAATATTAAATATTTTAATGGTAATTGCATTTAAGTAAATTAGCAACCATGGTTCCCATAGCGCTACTTTCTATTCGAGAATATTTCATGACAACAGTATAGGTTTATATTTCCCCCAAACAAAAATACCCTTTAACATTATCCTCATGTAATTTATACATATAAATCTGCTAAACGATATAATCTATTTTTGTTAGGTAGGTCATAAGATAATTTATAATAATATATATTTTTCCGTCCTACTGGTAATTGTATTATACAAACTGTTCATTGACTTCATTTGTTCATATTGAAAATGAAAATACAAATAGCACCCAGTCCGAATGTAAACATATGGGCATTAAGAGCTCTCAAAAAATAAAAAATAAAACAAGCGTCAGCTGTGTGAATGAATGAATTCAAATCTAATTTAAGGCACTGCCAGAATAACTAATGTGGGAAAAGGGAAGTGTGCAGTACACAGATATATAGTACACATGTGTTGGCTAATACATATATATGGGAAATTACAAAATTCTTTTAAAATTCCATTAAAAAAATTTTGAAAATTTTTTTTGCGAGCACATTTATGATTTTTGGTACATAGGTTAAGAAAAATATGCTTATTCGAAATCTGTTCGCGTTCACAAATTCGGATGCTGCGCACAAAAGTTATAGCGGTTTTAAATCTTGTATTTCAAATATATATTAAATGGATTCCTATTCGTTGTAATTCGCGAATTTCTTCACAAATGCTTAAACACCATTGTTTTCTTTGCATACTAGTCAAATCACACTGAAATACGGTTTAATAGTCGCGAAAAACAAATAGAAACATGAAGATATCGGAAAATAAAATAAATTAATTTTTGAAATAAAACTATTTTTTTTGAATTTTCGATTTTTTTAGTATGGTTAAGAGGATACGGTTTTGCCTTAATCTTCTAAAATATACAACGCTTTCTTCTGCAAATTCTTTTAGATGATTGTTAAATATCGGCAGATTCATCTGATAAGAGTTTCGACGTCATTAATGGCTAAATATATTGCATTTACAATACATAAAAATGATCAATATTGAAAAGCTTGCAATTCGCGAATTAATTGAAATCAGTTGATGCGCATGCGATTTTCATATAAACCGAATCAATGTCTTTCAATAATTATTAATTTTTCAATGTTTAATTTAGCGGTCAAAGTGTGCCACTCGATGCACTTTACTATGCAAAAACCCTAAAAATGGCTAAAAATCACGCAACGTGCATACGATTTTTATGCGCATCCGATTTTAGTAATCTCCTATGAAAATACGCAAAAGGACACCTATTTTAAAAGGATCGGTTAAGAACCGCGGATGTGCCTCCACAATCAATTTTGGATAAAATACGCATATTATTCGCGTATCGATGTATTTTTGACCCATTTCCACGCAGATTCGCGAATTTGACAATACAAGCATAAATGCATGTAAAATTAATTCGAAGAAAACCGCGATTATTTACGCGAATTTGTCAAAATAAGTTTTTGCAGTTTTTCCCACATTCAAGGTACCTATATCCGCCGTTTTAATGGGCGGAATTGAACATGGATGGGCTCATTAGATCCGGCACGTAAAAAAACTAAAATCACGCGGGGTTCCATGGAATTGGAATGGACTTTCTTAATTTTAGACTAAAAAAATATGTTTTTTATAAAAATTTACGCACTAAATTTTCGTCTTTGGAACCCAATTGCAAAGAAGCTACAGTGAGCACATTCATGAGATATACACTAAACGAAGCAGAATCACGAGTTCTACGATCCTATAATTAGTTTATTCTATTGTCTGGATGCGCATCCTAATTATAAGAAAAATTCAAAAAACACCGAAAATCCGGCTTCAAAATGTCAGCATCCATTTTGGGTGGATGCAGTGATTATATCGAAAAATCATACATTAGAACCATATTGTTCATGGGGTATTCTGCAACTTAGTCACTGATCACATGTGTGTGCGTTGTGTAGTTTAGCCACAAATCGGGAACGAACACAAAAAAACTCGTTGGCTTCAACACATTTTCACCCATTTTTTTACATTACCACCATCACAGCTTCCACGCAACTTATTATTTATTACCAATATTTCAAGATTTTGACAAGAACACTTCATTTTATAGAATTGAATTTAAATTATATGCAATATGTTCATATTTCGCGAGTTATAACCTTGCAAACCTCAACTTCAAGGAATTTAAAAGATTTTTGTAATTTCCCATATATATATATATATATATATATATTATTTATTGTTATTATCTATTTACAGATTGTTCATACTAGACAAATATTGTATTCCAATAGTAATCAAAGTGAGTATTTCGAGAACCTCTGTGTATTCAGCCACCATAGTTCCAAGGTTTGTGTAATTATTAAGTTAAATAAAATTCTCAAAATATTCCCCCTTAACAGGCTGTCGTAGCCGTCTCTCTTTTTTATAAAAACGGTACCGGTGGTATTTTACTTCTAAGCAATATTTAAGGTGGACACTATTGATCTGGTAGTGAAAAATCTGTTGTCATAAATGTGGTCTATGATCATAACAAACTTATTCATAAATATAAATACAAACAAATTCCCGAAATTAGTTCATAATCGTATTATGATTGCAAGCATGCATTACATGGTAAGGTATAGCACAGCAACTTGTGGGAACTTGAAACTACATGGAAAATTGATTTGTCTTATTCACATCAATATATCCTACCATGATTTCAAGCAACAATTTGGTGTTCTGGATCACAGAACATTACAATCGATTTAAATTATTTATGAAGTTTCGTTAAAATAACATTTTAGAATAAAATAAACATTATTATTATTTCTTTTATTGATTTTTTTATTATTATTGTTATTCATTTTTCTTAAAAACCACATTGATTTAATTATGTCCACAATATTTAGTTACGTTAACTTCACATTACTGGGGATTAGTATTTTTCACATTTGTACTTAGAGAATAATGCAAAAGAGAGAAATGCCTTTACATTGCCGGATTGACGGTATGTCAGTTACCAACAGATTTGTATACCAGCAGCCTCCTGAGCCTTCAACTCAGCCACAATATACTCACGGAATTGCTCATAGGCCTCGTCAATATCAACATTATTAATAATCTTATGGAAATTACCAGGTGTCAGGCCATAGGCAATTTCGCTGGCAGCAGCATCTAAACGCTTCTTCAGCGTCTCTTCGGTTTCCGTATTACGTTTACGCAGACGTTCTTCCAATGCCTCTATCGATGGTGGATTATTGAATATTAGAATGGGATTGAGATCGGTCTTTTTCACCTGTTCCACACCCTGTGGTTCAATGTCTAGAATACAAACTTTACCGGCACTTTGTACCTTACGTACGGCTTCCTTACTGGTGCCATACATATTACCACTAAATGTGGCCGATTCTATGAATTCGCCATTGGCAATGGCTTTCTCCATAACGTCTCGTTCGACGAAATTATAATGGACGCCATCTTCTTCGCCGGGACGGGGTTTGCGTGTGGTGTGTGAAACACTGAAGCCAAACGTGTTGGGAAACTCTTTGAATAATCTATTCAAGAGGGTACTCTTGCCGGAACCCGAAGGTCCACAAACAACAACTGGTCTGGGTCCCTGTTTGGCCATAGTGCTTAAAAGCCTATTGGCAATGAAAAGAATGCTAATCATGATTAGAAGTGTTTCTCAATATAAAACGGTAACGGTAAGTGCTAAATCTGGGAGATTCTTGGGTTGAGTAGTAGTAAAAAAAAATGCAAAGTTGCTTTCAGTTAGTCGTTAAGGTGTGATGATGAATAAATGCTTTTGGACACTTTGGATTAGAGGTGCAAATGGTGAACTGTAAAGAAGACAATAAGAAGAACAAGAAGGCAAATATTTCCCAAATGTAGTGCAAATTTTCGACAAATTTCATTGTGAGCTAGGAATCAAAACAAAATCAAACAAAAAATTGTCGAAAATTATAACAATACAAAAAGCAAATGTATTGATGAAGATGATAATGATAGATGTAAAAATAAAATATAAACATTTCGAATGCAATAATCTTTGTAGGAAATGCAACACAATGTAATGTATTTCGATATTATTCAAAATTATTTTTTCTTCAAAAAATTATTATATTAACCTTTAAAATATTTAATTAAAAATTTAGTATTTTAGAATAATGTAAATGCAAAAAATATATAGAAGTCATTACAACTTCTTAGCTACAAAAAAAAATTAAGTGCGAAATAAGTGCTGATTCTGTTTAAAATCTACGTAGAATTTGAGGAAGAAATCCTTATTCTATTCTTTTTATATTTCTTCAATCTGCACACCACGTATATAAATAATATAAATAAGATTCTTGGAACCCATCAACATTCACATTATCAAATCGATAATGAAGTAAAGCTTAATCTAAAATCAATATCAAATTGAAATTATTTTTTTGGTAGTACATAACACTTGCAAGTGTGCGACTACGACTTTATTTGAATAATAAAAATTGTCTTTTTTAGGCAATGCGAAAAAACAAAACAATTATAAAATTGTTATAGTATTTATTACAAAATAATTCACAATACCAAATTTAAGAGATGTGGAAATCCCATTTCAATAGCTCTGTGTATGTTAGATCTACCACACCCAAGTTCAATGGCTCCTATTGGAATTAGTCTATACATACTACAATGTCACCCAAGTGTATATATATTTATTTGTATAATCAATGCATTAAATATTGGAATTGCAAATGGAACAAGAAATAAATTCACACACACACGCACGCACCAAAACATGACATCTTTTGGCAAAGAATGCAGCAATAACCGGCATGAATTACAAGCAAATATGTTACGGACGGTCCAAAAAGATATGTAGACAACAAACAACAAAAAACGACACTTGTAACAACCATAAAAATCGTCTACATAATTAACTGCATTGACAATTAAAAACCATACAGAAACTAATAAAAAAATCGTTTTATCTTTATCTGTATTTCAAGTCAAGGAAGAGAAACTTTCTTTTTTTCAACGCATTTGGGAAAATCGTTGTTATTTGAGACGAGTTTTCTTCCAATGGAGAATTAATTAAACTACAACAAAGATATGGGATACCACCAGACAGAGAGGAGACAAATCAACGGGGAAGGAGGCAAATAACAAAAGCCAGACAAAAAGAAAATTCAAGTCTACTACGCAATATCTTTAAGCCTGAAAAGGAAAATCAATACTTGTAGGTCGTCGTATGCGGTAGTTTTGGTGGAAAATCACCACCACCACCACTTCAACAATCGCTGCCATAAAAGAAAGCAAAAGGGTGACACCTCAACAGACAGACAGACATAAAAATATTGTTGCTATAGACCACCATACCAACATGGCAAAAATTAAAAAAAAAAAAATGTTATTTGAGACATCTTTAAGGGGAAGCAATGATAAAAAGAAATAAACTAAACAAACAAGCAAACGAAAACGTATACAGCAGAATAATAATAGACCACAAATATTTCTATTTCAACTACTTTTTTTGCTAGATAATGATTTAATTACCAACCGTAAAAGGTATTTAAACATGAATTAACATTTTTTGTTTTGCCCCTAACTGAACACCGTTTGTATGCTGCGGCATGATGAATTTTATGGCTACACAAAATACTATAACGGTAAAGCTCCAAACCAAATCGGGTATACACACATGGGTGAAGACGACGACGACGGCCACCAATATAGATGTTCGCAAATACCAAATGCCGATGTGCCAGTACACCAACCAAATAAATTCACATAGTGGGGTTTTGGCAGACAGAGGCCACAAAAGGCGTGGTGCTGGTGGTGTCGGCTAATAGAAATAAAATCGAATATCAATCTATAATTATATCTTAGGTGTTAACCGGAAAAATCCATAATCATCAAAATGTGGCCATATAAATATAATGTCAATGTGTCTTATAGTCCTATAAATATGGAATATTTTCAAAAATAAAATAATAATCGGAAAAACATACCTTCGGTAACTATTCAGACAGATGTTTACTAGAAGTGTTTTCACGAAAATTTTCAGATATTTTTATCTATTATTTTGTGTTTTCGTTTTTTATATATACAATTTTCTAACACCTTTTATTACCACAATTATTTTTATTTTTTTTGACAGGGTGGTTGTTTTCTCTTCTATTTCTTTATTTTATGTTAAATTTCCACCTTTGGTTGTATTCAACGACTTGTGCTATTAACACAGATTTTTTTCAACAGTTAGAAATGAGCCCAGATTTTTTAAAAGGCAATGAATTTCAATGAACTATTTTTTCACTAAAATTTTGTTGTTGTTTTTTTTTCTTAATTGTAATTAAAATTTTCCACCTTTTCGTCACTCGTTATCGCAATTGTAACGTACTATACACATTCGCTTCCGTCGCTAGACTGATTCGAATGACTGATGTATTTTCGTTGGTATACTCTTGTTGCGGAACCACACACTGCGCTTACAGCAAACAGCTCCGAAGATAGACATACCAAAAAAAAAATACTGGCCATCATCATAACGTTGAACAAAACCTTTTCTCAGTTATGCTTCAAGTGAAATATGCAAACAAAACACATGAAATGAATCTACGAATGTGATGTACACACCAACGTACATACACAATTTGTTGACATTTTTGCAGATACTCATTCCAAATGAGAAACGACAAAATGCTCTCTTATTCTGTGTATGTATCTCTCTTATCAGAAAGGTAAAAAACTCTTATTGGATTCTCTTTGAAATAGGGTACTGCCATACAGAATATACCAATGATGGAAGTGTAATATACAGGGGGTTTTAAAACAGTATTTTTTAATAAATTTTCATTTTATATTTTAAAAGGCAAATACATATTCCGACATAACCCTTGGAAACAAATTATTTACAAATATAAAGAGATATTAAGAAAAATGTAACGATTAGAACCAATGACAATAGCAAATAAATTAAATAAACCTTAGTAAATGATGATGGATTGAGAAAGGGATACCATTTGTATTTTTTAATAGTCCACAGGGAGTTAGGAAATAATATGAAAGCAATAGTGTGATTAAGGACAATCGAAACACGAACAATGATTCGCAAAATCAATTAATAATCATTTGCGTTAACCCCCTCTACTAACAATAGATTATTCGAAAAGAAAATATTGAATACTTGTTAAATACAGTCGAGCACGGTTATAGCGAACAAGTAGGGACCAAGCAAATTATTTCGTTATATCCGTGGTTACATTAACATAGGCTTAGCAGAAAAAATATATAAATTGGTAGGTTTTGTGTCCTTTTTGGCAATAGTTAAGCTGCATTTCTTTTTCTTTGATTGACCTGACATTACAGCTGACATTTTTGTAAAGTTTGCGATTGCAATCATTATAACCAAATTTAAATATATGAAAACTCAATGTTCAAGTTTGCTATATCCGTAGTTCGCTAGAAGAGCAAAACTTTGTATGAAAAATATGTCCCAAAACTCCGAAACCAGGAAATGTGTTCGCTATAAATAAAGTTCGTTATAACCGGTGTTCACTATAAGTGTACTCGACTGTATTTGTCTAATATGAAAATAAATAAAATTTGCACCTTTGAGAAAAAAAAACGGCAGATAAATACGTTCGTCGAATTTTCACACTTTGTCCTGATTTATACTAGGCGAGTTTACTCGCGGCAATTTTTATCGTTCTCTTTTGAACTTGCTCCATGCGTCTATACAAGGCAATTCGGTTTCCAATTTTTTTTTTATTTGTTGTTTTTTCTCATTTAAATATATATATAAAATGTCAACAAATATGAAATACACAAAACGAATTGCCAGAAAATTGTCGGTACGAGCAATTTTTTTTTTCATTTCTATACCCCTTGCCCCTCTCTCCTACAAACAAAGACTTGCCGCAAGTAAACTCGCCTTATCTAAATTGAGACTTTGTTCGGAATTGCCGGTAGAAGTTGTATCATGTTAATCTTTTTCCCAACCTATTATAACCAAATCAGGGAATCATTTCGCTCTAAAACGATGGTTGTACAATGCATTCAATTTGGACATATCGGTCATAATGTACATTTACACTGTATCGGATTTAGTAATTCCAGTTGATCTGTGTTATCAATTCTATTGCATATATGTCAAATAAATCCTCACACGGGATGTTAACCCGGTAAAAAGTCCGTCTATTTGACTGTCGCGAGAAATAGTGAGGAGTAACCTATTTTATATACCTTGGTACCGCCATAAATAAAACGAATAATATCAGTTTTGAAATTCGGTGAAGGATTGTGATGGCCAACAGATGCTACTATGGTCTAAGTAAGCAGTTTAGAAAAAAGGCCACCTCTCGCCAGACCAAACTCACACTTTACAGGACGCTGATACTACCCGTGCTATTATATGGATCAGAAGCATGGGTACTTGCGCAAGCAGATGAGGCAGCGCTTGGGGTGTTTGAGAGAAAAATTCTCCGAAAGATCTACGGGCCGATCTGCGTCGACGGTGAATATCGGCGTCGAATGAACCACGAGCTCTACAATTTATACGCGGACATCGACATAGTCAGTCGTATTGAGCTGCAGCGACTACGGTGGCTAGGCCATGTTGTGCGGATGAATGAAGATGCCCCAGCTCAAAAGGCATATAAAAATGAGCCTACTGATGGTTCCCGTAGAAGGGGAAGGCCAC